GGCTGTCTACACTGGCCCTTTTCCGGAACAGTGTTCCATAATAAGGACTTATGCCCGAGCGGGAGCAGAATAGTTTTTCCGGAATAGCGGCTGGTTTTGTACAGTAGAGCATCGTTGCTTTTCCGGAAATTCAAGGGCCAGTGTAGACAGCTCGCAGCTTATTCCGGAAAAGCGGCTGATTTTCCGGAATAAGTGGCCCAGTGTAGACACAGCCGGTGTTTTTTTCAGCATGCTAGGCAGATGTCATATATTAGTAAACTTCAAGTATCATAACAGGACAGCACCAATCTCTTTGTTGTTATATGGAAGTGCTGGTTTTAGTTCTTCGTACTGTATTTAATTAATCAATATATATCACAGCAGGGCACCCCATTTTCCTTTGTGTTCTTCCCTTCAAAAACTAGTCAGAGGCTAGTCAGAGGCTAGCAAGTCCATGGAAATAGCACTAGCCTCCTCCTGTCCAGAAATCCCATAACCCAATGTGAATATTGTGGTGTACACACACCATAGTAAATCAGGAGCTGCTATACTCACTCCAATTAGAATTACTCCTGATGTACTCCACGGTAAGTGAGATAAGAATCAGACACTGTAAATTTACATCCTAAACAGCAAAACAGTTAGTTAAGATACTTCAGAAGCCAGATAGTCCTCTTGAACAATGATTTGCTATGAAAGGGGGGTTAATTTTAAAGAAATTAAAAATCTAGTTTGGTAAGTCTATTAACATATGCTTCATTCTGTTAAGAGCATCTTTTCATATTTGTTCCTCATATTTGTTTCTATTTTCATTGCTGAGACACTAAATTACACTAAAAATTCTTGCTGACAAAAGGCATGAGGAAATACTCGTTTCCATATTTTAGTGGTATCCTGGGGAAATGTGGTATAATGTAATGGGGTAGCCTATATCTTTTCTCACTCTTTCAGGACGGTATAATTTCATTCCTTCTTCTCCACAGGCAATTAACATTATAGTTTACATAATGTTTTCCTTTGGTTATGAATTTGACACGGTGTTTTACTTAATTATTTCCTCCCATTTGTTGTATGCAACAGCACAGAATTCTCAAAATAACCACAAGACCCATGTGAAGACTCAGTTTTATCTGTGTAAGTGGTATCAAGCCAAACGATTGTGGTTTTCTTGCTGTGAAACTGCTGTGGTTTTAAGATTTTTACTCATTGATTTTGGTGTGATATTAAGTCTTCTGGAACTTGATCTGTTAACAACCTTTTCCTTTCCATAGTTGAAGGGCTAGATTTTGAATGCCTTACAATGGTGAGAAGTTGATCTCATTGAGGTTACCCATGTAAATGACTACTCGCCAGTGCCAAAACACAGTTCACAATCTGGCCCTACTGGAACTCTGAGCTCTGAACTCCCGTGTTTCACTCAGTGGTGTGTTTAATGTACACATACTGACCCAAAAGAGCTTACTGTAGTCAAATTAGCTTATGGTCTCCAAATAATTAATTTGGGAGGGGGGCTTGATCCTGAATAATACTTACTATTATGAATTGAATGGGCCAACCCATGGCGTTACACTCGTTTTTGCAAGATCAAGCTTTATGACAACTAGAACAGACTCAAACCAACTCAGAATAATGCACACGTTTAAGACAGCGTTAGGCAAGGCTGATCACCACAGTCTTAGATTTCCTCCACCTCAGTGAGTGAGTTACTTATCTTCCCCCTATACATACACATTATCACTCTCTGCTGGTGAAAGGTGAGCGAGCAGTTTTCGTGCTTGAACTTGTACATTTCCAAGACAGTTGATCAAGGCTGAATTCTGACATTTTGAGCTAGACCTTCATTTGGTGTAAATCGACCTAACTTCACTGATATGGTCCTCTTTTATTATTTTATGACAGAATACAACCAATGACCCAGCATTTACATATCTCTCCCACAAAATTAGGCTGTTCTTGTCACACTTCTAACTATAGACACCCAGTAGCAGGTGTTTGCCATTAAGCTGGGACTCTCACTTGATCTTTCACGGATGTTAGTTCACCAGGAAATGTGTGATACATAGAATGAGGACTTCATTCTGACACTGGCCAGTACACATACATTTTGATGTTCTGAAAATCTTTCACTATCACGCAATCCAGACAAAGCATTTTAGGCAGTGAGCATGAAGAGTCAGAAGGGCATTCAGCTGCTAACTTAGCCATACAGGTAAGCTGATGGCATCATAACAGTCATTAATCTTATCAGTGTGCAGTGAAAGTGGTTTTGTAATGTAATGTGTCAAACATCATTTAAAGCAGAGTTTCTTGCTGTCGTGTCAAATCATGCCCTTTAAGTTATCTGAGTATCTGATGTCCAGTTAAAGACTGGTTCACATAGTGAAGTTTCACCCCATTCTGTTTTGCTGTCCTAGGAATGCAGGTGTTGGAATGGAATGGCATCCCCTTGACAGCAAGAACGTATGAAGAAGTCCAGAGTATCATCAGTCAACAGAGTGGGGAAGCAGAAATATGTGTAAGACTGTGAGTTTTTCCCCATCTTTCTGTTTCCATTTTTTTGGCTTTTCATGGCTTTTTTTGATTTATAATTGTTAAGGTGGAACCTTTGCTAGCCTGGAGGATTTGTACATGTATAAAGAACTAGAAGAAGGTCAGTGTGAGTTTTGGAGGCTTATTTGTTTTATAATGAATCATTAAAAATACAACAAATGAATGAAGTAAAACAGATTTTAACTAATTATGTTTTTATCGATAATGATATCTCCCTTTCCAGGACAAATTCTCCTCTCATTAGACAGGTACAATCCCACTGAATTAATTGGGGTTTGCCAGTGTAAGGAGATAAGAATTTATTCTTCCCATGACTTCTGTTGAAACATGTTACATTAGGACGGAAGCTGTAACTTATCTAAACATCATGAGAAATGTATGTATTTCAATATAATCTTACATTCAATCCATTAAAGATTTCACCTTAAAAGAATCATTTTTCTCGGCACATTGACTTTAACGGCATTGCAAAATTGTATCAGCTAAGAAGGGGCCATGCTTGGGAGCTGCTTTCTGTCATTAATCACGTTTCATTTATCTACTTAATAAAATAACGAGGGTATAAGGAAAGAGTTGCTTTTGTCTCAGGCTTCTCATTGCTTTCTTTAGGGACCTCAACATGCTCTCAGATTCTGAGAATCCCCAGCATTTGGAACTGCATGACCCAGTAAAGGCTGGTAGGTGAAAGCAGATTGCTTTCAAATGTATGGACTGGATGGCCATAAGCACCACAGCTGCAATTTATGAATTATATAGGCAAAGCTTTGTTTGCAGTAACACATGAAACGTCTGGTATGTGACGTTAGCTCCTAAATTGCTTAAAACCAAATCTTCCCTACTCTGATTAGCTTATGAAGTCTTCCATTCCAGACTTTGGAGTCTCTTTCGTGCTCATAATCTTTCTTAGTCCTTTTCTTTTTGCATGAATTTGCTCAGCAATGACTTGAATTTATTATTCAGTTATTTAAACAAAAGATTTTGGATTAACTGTTGTCAAACCAAACTAAGGGTTCTTAACAAACCTGTAAGAGTTCTAGAAGCCATAGACATGGGGCCAGATCCTCAGGTGGTGTAAATCATCTGTGAGGATCTGACCAATCATCTCTAACCTTATTGTAACAAAAGTAAACTTTCTTTCCTGGCCAAAGAAGATTCTTCCTAGAGAGTTTATGAGATAACTGGGGTCAGATGACTTGGTGCTGAGTGGAAGGAGAAGGAGACCTGTTGTTTCCATATTCTTTTTGCACTGAAATTTGGAATCAGATCTTCCACTAGTGGAAATAAAAGCAGGCTTTTTGACATTTTAGATGTATTTATTTAGTGTGTTGAGCCACTGCTGGAACATCCGGAGGACTGAATGGTTTTGCAATTATCAATGTAAAGCTCTTGTATACTTTAATCCAGTAGACAAGGCGAAGTCCCCAGGGGTCGATCCTAAGCAGCTGGCAGCAGAGCTTCAAAAGGATTGCTTCCTCAGCAGTGGAGAAGGGATCTCACATCCATTCTGGCACTCCCTCTGCCACCTCCAGTGCTGTTCCCAGCCCTGGCCAGCCTGGTTCACCCTCAGTGAGCAAAAAACGGCACAGCAGCAAGGTAAGATGCTTCCACTTGTGTTATGATCCTCAGTTGTCCAGTGAGTAAAACGTGGTCACAAGAAGTGAGTAATTAGCTACCTACATGACCTCTATATTGTAGGAACATACATATAAATGCATTCACCATGGACCTCAGGATGGAGATGAATATTAGGGTTCCTATTTTATAGGAGGGGAACTGAGGCACAAAGTTGATGTGCCCTACACAAGATCTCACAGGAAGTCTGTGACAGACCCAGGAATTGGATCAAGATATCTTTAGTTCAATTTGAGGGTTTTAGCAAATACATTGTCCTGGTCATCCTTTCTCTGGTCCTTCATGTGTGTACTGTCTACTGGGAGGTGAAATACTGGCTTTGGTGACACCAATACTCCCATAAACCTCATTGAGAATGTGTACATTGCAGTTAAAAACCTGGGATTGGCTCATGTTAGCTATCTCAGAATCACAGGCTGTTTAACTTCAGGAGAGATGTTTGGGCTCAGAATGGGACCTGTGCACTAGGATCCTGCAAGAAGGGTCAGGTTCAGCCAGAGCCTAAATTTCTACACTGCGGTAAACTGCCCCTTAGCCTGAACCCTCCAAGCCCGAGTTATCTGACAGGCACCAGACACAGGTATCTCACTGCAGTGTAAACATATGGGGCCAGGATTTCACTCAGGAAAAAAAAATAGGGGGAGACTATGTATGTAGCACATAGTGCACAGCCAAATACCGCAGTGTTATAAAGAATAAATAATGACAATGGTAGTACTACTTTGATTGCCAGAAAAAGAGTTAATAATGGTGTTAATATTAAGCTCTATCCTTCTCACTTTTCCATTCCCATAAATTAGTTATTAACTGTACCCTCAGATATTCTTTATCAAATATTATCCATTTCTCAGTTGAACTGCTTTATGCTTGGGCTACCAACCATATATTCAAAAGTCATTCACAATATTTTTCAGTATTGAGAAGATGGGGGGAAAGACTATAAAGTTATATATTACTTTTTTACATTCTCATCAAAAGATTTGTTGCCTGCAATGGAAATCAATGTTGCAAAGATCTCACTTTTTGTGCAATTTGTAAGAAATAGCACTCCAATCTTATCTAAAGGAAGCTATTAGGTTAGGGTGTGTCTACACAGCACAGTTATTTCAAAATAACTAATGTTATTTCAAAATAACAATGTGAGCATCTACACAGCAATTCCGTTATTTTGAAATAAATTAAAAATAACAGATGGCTTATTCCGTCTTCTCCACAAGGAATAATGCCTATTCCAAAATAGCTATTTTGAAATAGCAATAGTGTGGACACTACACTGCTGCTATTTTGAAATAGCTCCTCCCCAGGGCCATTCAAACTAATTACTCCCCAGTGCCTCCTGGGGCTGTAAATCAAGGTAGCACATCCACATCAGGGAAGCCTTGAGCTAATTTTGAGGCTTCCCTCTAGTGTAGAGGTGGTATATTGAAATAAGCTATTTTGGAGTATTTCTTCCGGAATAGTTTATTTCAAAATAAATAGTGTAGACGTATGCTTAATGAAAAGCTGAACATTAAGGATACTTCCAAATGTGACAGCAATGCATTTCCTCTCTACTTAATTATCTATATCTATATTTAGATATCTGAGTAGGATTTTATCAGGTCTCCCATTATTTATTTGTTTGTTTAGTTATTTGTGCTGTAGAAGCACCTAGGAGCACCAGACATGAGCCAGGGCGTCATTGTGCTAGATGCTGGACACAGAAAAAAACATGGTCCCTGCCCCCAAAAGCTTACTAAGTAAATTATTATAGTTCTAAGTACCTTCTGTGAGAGGTAAACACAAGAATCTCTGTGTCTTAACCAGCTGGACCAGAAGGAACAAACTCAGATTTCTAATTAGGGTTTTTAAAAGGTTGCTGTGGGAAATCCACCTTGTTGAGATAGGTTATGTCTTTAATGATAATTCTTTCTGTTTTACATGGCAGTGAGTTCCACAGCCTTGGTCCAGATCCTGAGAAAATTGTGTGTCTTGTAGACAAGAGCCTTCCTCTGTTTCTAAGCCACTTTAGTTTGGGTGCAAATTACTGGCCTTATGGAAGAGGAATACATATAGTAGGAGGTCAAACTTTAACTTAGGGAAAACTAACCAGAAATCCCAAAGATGGCTTAAATATAAATTAGTGCATACCGATGAGTTACATATTTAACACAATGTTTCATAGAGGCAAAACAATCCAACGCGAGTTACTGTTTTATAAATGTACTTAAAAATAAGTAAAATAGATGTTGGCATTCAAATTAAGAAGATTAATTAAAAACCTCTCTTTTTCTGTAAATTATATGAAAAGTATATACTTCCAATATGATAATCATTCATATCACTGACAAGTCATGACTTCTGGATCTTGATCTACAGAACAAGTTCATAACTGTACTGAGTTTTGTAAGATCACAGTATTATAGCTCATGCAATTTGTAGCTCTCTTCTTGCTTTACGATATTGGCAATCAGACTACAACTTTGATCCATCGCATTTGCAAAAGTTTCACGCTGGCCTAAATGTTTCAAAGTATCTAGGTCTTCCTTTTAGTATCAGATAAAATCTTCTCCTTAAAAGTTTGTATAGCAAATTTGATGTACTTCAAAAATGATGTAGGAGACTCTTTGATATCCTGTAATGCTGATTCCATTTATTACTTTGTCCCATTACCATAGAGAGTGATAGAGCATAACATCAGAGCCTGGCATTACAAGAGCTCCCCATCACAATAATGACACTTTTCCCTAGCAAGTGTGACAGCATTACAAAGCACCAGCTCTTCTATGGAAAAAGAAATGTAACAAAAGACATTCAACAGTGATGCAGAGAAGGGAGTGAACATTTTGAGCCATGAATGGGTTACAAATTGTCCAAGTCTATTTCTTTTCTAAACTGATGCACGATCATGTTGCAGTTCAGATTACATGCTGGATACTAAGCATCTGGTCATAAATGTCCTTCAGGAACAATTTACTTTTCCTCTTGAAGAAGAATAGGCTGCCTTTCCAAGTCCTTATGGTTCCCAACTCCCTCTGCAGCAGCAATGAATTGCTTTTCCTTTCGCCAAATTAATCTCTAATAATGCCCTGATTCAGCAAGATACTTAATCGTGTTCTTAACTTTAAGCATGTGGTCAGTCCCACAGAGTGACATTACAATCAACTGACTTCAAAACACCCTACTTGAATATTTAAATTGAAGTGTGTACTGAAGTATGTTGCTGAATTCAGGCATAAAGATTCAATAACGATAATTGCAAAAGGCTGTAAAACTGTTAAAGTTTCACAGAGGAATTTACAATATTCCTTACAGTGTGTGTGTATTTTTTAGATACACACTGTGGAGCCCCAGTGACGACTTTGTTTAAAAGTTGTAAATAGCTTTGCATTATGAGTTTAGTTTTGGAGAACCTTCACTGGATTCCACATAACCCCTGATTTCAGCCTGAAGTTTATCAGATGACAGATGGTATTTCCTGATAGAAGAGAAATTTTCTTTTTACCCAATGTTTGTAATGAATCAGCTGTGGCATTTCTGAGTTTCTACATTTTGAAATATAAAGCTACATCCATGCTAGAATATATTTTATCTGTCTTTCAGCAGCAGTATAGTCCAGTTAACCAATGATATCAGTCTTGTCAGCAGTAGTGTAGACATACCGCAGCCTTTTTAAGCACCATCTCCTGAAACCCTGCCCTGAATTATCAACGAGTAACATTCATCCCTTTGCTGAGGGTTAGGACAAGGCCTGTAAACAGACAGAAGCTGTGACTGGATGACAGAGGATGGATCTTTGGATAATTACTCTGTTCTACTTATTCCTTCTGAACCATCTAGCACTGGATGCTGTTGGAGACAGGATACTGCAATAGATGGACCATTGGTCTGCCCAGTATGGCTGTTCTTTTATATTCTTATAAACGATTTAACCCTCACTGTAAAGGTTTAAATGGGGATTAAATGATGCATAGGCCGGGAATTAAGAAATGAATTTTACTCAGTAGTGTCTCTGAGTATTTTCTTCGAAGAATGAATGTTAGGAGTTGTTTGCTATCAATATTTGTAACTTGGACAATTCATTTGGGACTGGGTCAATTTATAAACTCACAGTTTCTGGTATAGCTTAGTAGCTGTTAGCTGATTTGCTCAGATTAAAGGAGTTTGTAAGGTCCTAATTAGCAATGATCAAAGATTTTTCATATAATTTTTTTTTTTTTTGCCAAAAAGTGCATTTTGGAGAAAAAAATCAAAGTTTTTCTCTGGAATTTTTCCCTGAAATTTTTCTCTTGATTTTCCATTGGGAAAAAAGATCTAAATGAAATGTTTCAGGAAAGTTTGACCTGAATCAGAGTACTTCAGTTTGTTGAGCTGACCTGAAACATTTTGTATTGAGTCAGTTCAACATTAAACTGTGTCTGTGTTTGTTGCTGCGGTGCCCCATGGAAACTGTAGAGGCTTGGTGTCTCATTCTCTCTTACCAGTTAGGCTCTTGGTTGGCTACATTTCCCATGATATACTCCTGCTTCCCTCTATCTGAGCTGTGTGAGACATTGTGCAAGTTCCATCACTGCAGTACATCATGGGTGTTGTAGTGTGTGCACGGGGGAAATGTCAGGAGGAATCTGATAAGAAAAGCTAGTTTCTGACAATTGGGCCAAACTTGCACATACCTCTGTTGAGGAGCACAGATAGGTAAGAGAACTAATACTCCTTTTGTATTTTTTGTGGCCTTGTGGAAGGGACAGAGCACAATATCACGAATGCAAAATGGTCCACTTAAAAATGTATTCATCTCTGTGTGTCCTGGGTGTACCCACATGGTGAGCTGGTCCAAATCTGCTTCTTGGACCATCTTCTGCCAGCTATTAGATCTTACTCAGAAGTTGTGATGCCTTTGGCCTCCTCTATTGCCTTCAATCACTTCTCTGAGGGTGCGGCTACACTACACCCTTAGCTCAAAATAAGCTATGCAATTTGAGCTACACAAATTGCATAGCTTATTTCAAATTAATTTCAAAATAGCTTATTTCAAAATAGCACCAAATTTCAAAATAGAGTGCTATTCCGAAATGTCCCTTAATCCTTATGGAACGAAGTTTACAGGGATATCGGAATAGCATTCCTATTATTTTGCGACCTATTTTGCAATAATGGGCACACTGACAAGACATGGAAATGCCACTCTGAGAGACCGGAAGTATTCTGAAATAGCGCTGCCGTCTAAGATGCACCCTGAAGGAAGTTAGCGCAACAAGGAGCATCAGTATCTCCCATGCATATTTCTGCTAGGCATCTACTGTTTTTTGTGCGGTCCGTGCCTTAAAGAACATAGGCTCCCAATCCTATTCTCTGCTGTCCACATGAATCATGACATGTATCTACATGTACTCTCCCACTTCTTCATGTTATGTCTGCGTCCTACCCATCTTTCAGCCCTTTTGTTCCCTTGTGCTAATGTACACAGAATTCTGCATCATTAGGTACTATGGCCATGGATTAAATTCACTGAAAGCAAATTCAAGGCCAATGCACATTGAAAGGAAAACTCCATAATAGTTTGTACTCATTCATAGATTCTGAAATAGCTGCAACAATGAAAGATAAAGATCTCAAAGTCAAGATAGACAGTGTAACAAGAAAGATGGCTTAATATGCACTGGCAGTCCAAAGAGCAAGTGGGGGTACGTCTACACTAGCCCCCTAGATCGATCTAGGGAGGCTAATGAGGGCGACCGGAATTGCAAATCAAGCCTGGGATTTAACTATCCCGTGCTTGATTTGCATGTTCCCGGCCAGTCGCCATTTTAGAAATTGACTAGCCCAAAGTAACTGCCTGCATCTACACGCGGCAGTGAAGCGGGATTCTGATTTAAAGCCCTAACTCGAATTAGCTGGCATTCCTCCTGCAATGAGGTTTACCAGCTAATTCAAATTAGGGGCTTTAAATTGGAATCCCGTTTCACTGCTGCGTGTAGACGCGGGCAGTTACTTCAGATGAGTCAATTTCTAAAATGGCGACCGGCTGGGAACATGCAAATCAAGCGCAGGATATTTAAATCCCGGGCTTGATTTGCAATTCCAGTCACCCTCGTTAGCCTCCCTAGGTCAATCTAGGGGGCTAGTGTAGACATACCCTAAGAGATTAGGCTGCATTAAGAACACAGAAAATGATATGGAAAATATGATTAGGTCTTTATATGAATTGAGGGTTTGTCATCATTAGCTTGAATATTTTTATTTACTGTTAGTAACCTCATCTCAAAAACAGCACTGCAGAAAAAAGAAAGGCTAAACAGGACTATGGAAGCAACTAGTGACAAGGAGATTATTCAAAAAAGACCAGCACTCATTTTAGTGGTGGTGTAAGAAAATGCAATCCTGCAAAAGTCAGTGGAGTTAGGTCTACTTATGACATCAGCAAATTTTGCCCTTAGACTGTTTAGCATGTAAAGAAGATGAATAAGAGGAGAGATTAAATCATAGGAGTATAACATTAAAATAGTTGAGAAGCCTGCTTATTGTAATCATATATATAGTAGCCCAATGTCTGTGACTCTGTAATGCTGAAATGCTGGCTGTTCCCTCTGGGCAGTGCTATTGCCTCCCTGGCTGTTCCCTCTGGACGGTGCTGTTGCCTGAGTCACATCCTTCACCTCACGCCATGGATCTCAGCTGACTTCTGCAATGCTCAGTCGGGTCGCCACGGGGGAGCTCGGTGCAAGCAGCTGTTAAGGCGCCGCGGTCCCCATGTAGCACCCTCGTGTTGCATGGGGAGTGCTGGGTCCAAATGGCCACTTGCACTGCTTGCTCCCCCACAGCAGCCCGGCTGAGTGGCACAGAAGTCAGCCGAGCGCCACGGTGGGTGGGGAAGGGAGTGGGGAGGTGACGTACACAGCCAGAGGGCAGGGTGTGGATGAGCATGCATCCCTGACAGAAACAGAGGAGAGTGGAGAGAGAGTGAGAGGCAGGAGGGGGAGAAGAGAAAGGGAGAGATGGAGAGAGAGGGAGAAGGCAGAGGAGAGCTGAGAGAGAGGGGGAGGCAGTAGGAGGAGGAGAGAGAAAGACATGGAGCGAGAGACCAGAGGCTCAGGAGAGAAGACCGAAGTGGAGGAGAGACCTGAAAATCCCGTCTTATGATGGGTTAATTGGCTAGTAATAATAATAAATACCTACCTAGCTATCAGAGCCCTTTACAAAAGAAACATCATTATCCACATTTTATAGATTGGGAAATCAAGGTACAGCTAGGTTAAAGTATGTTTCCTAAGGTCATCCAAGAAGCCAGTGAGAGATGTGAGGCTAGCACTGAGGTCTCCAGAATCCTAATTAACAGTCTTATTTAACTAGACTCCTAATAAAAGAGCAAACCCAATGAAATGTGTAGACAATGAACTCAAATTGGATAAGAGGAATTTGTTATGTAATGTAAAATTAATGTTATAATTTTTCTCCAGGGCAGTGAGTCCCATCGTGTTATAAGATTCTAAAAAGAGCTAGACACATACCAGATGCATGACAGCCATCTCTGCTGCTGCACTTGCCGTAGGAGAAAAATTGCTAGGGTCACCAATTCTTAATACTCGCATAATGCATAACCATCTGGGGCAGGAAGATGTGTTTTCCCATGGCACTTATTCATGTGACATTAATGTGGTGAGAAAGATTGGGGTGTTCCTTCAAATACTCTACAAGCCATTGTCAAAGAAGAATTTCTATGTTCCTATTAGAGAGTGTCCTTAACTACAACATTTGGATGCAGAGGTTGTGGGTTGGGTTCCTCTCCAGTTCTTGCAGAATTTTCTGCTGTTGATGAGATACAACATATTGGGCCAATTTGGGTCTATCCCTTGTGCAGAAGTCGGGGAAGAGCACAAAGAGGCTGCTCCTTCATCTCCACCCTATTTGAGTCATCCTCAGTGAGGTCCAGGCACAGTTGCAGCCCTTGTTGGAGCTAGGCATAATGTTTCAACATAATGTTGAAATAATGTCGAACTGGAGGACTTTTTACTCTGACTCCTGCAGCCTTCATTTCACAAGAAGTAAGGGAAGTCAGAGGAAGAGTGCTCTAACTCAGACTTCCTGCTGTGTACACAGCGCCAAAAGCTGAAATAAGCTATTTCGACTTAAGTTACGCAATTGACATAGCTCAAGTTGCATAGCTTATTTCAGCTTTATCCCTGCTGTGTAGATGTGCCCAAAGAGACTAGGGAACTGCTCTCATTTAGTGCACCCAGGAGGAAAGGAAACTGCTTTATCTTAGGCATGAGTTAACCTATGCATAACCACTACTCTTGGTTCTACCTTAAACTGTTGCTTTTCAGTGGCTTCTTTGAGGGCTTCGGTAGCTGTGAGATGTATTTTACTTGACCTTAAGACAGCAAAAGGTGTTATAGTGACCTGCAATTTCTGACAGTTGGCAGGTCACATCTGCAAGTTAGGAGAAGGTCACTTTTCTGAGCATTTGTTTACTAGTTGTTGTTGTAGTGTAGACATGCTTTTAATCTCTGTGCTCCAGTTCCCTCTCTGTAAAATGAGGAGGATGTTACTTTCTTTTTCTCCTGAGACTGTTTCTTGCTTAGGGTTTGTAAAATACCTAGCATAAAGATTTCAGATGAGGTCACTGTGTGTCAATAAAAATACCTCAATTACTTAATGCCAGCTGGAGTCCAAAGAAAAGTGGCTTTCTGAGGTAAATGGCAGATAGAGCAGTATTAACAGAGCTTTGTAAAAATGTTCACCATGAAAGACTCATGTTTAATCAATGTCTCTCTCTCTGTGTTTGTTTTAACTTGGTAGCCCGCTGAAGTGGCAAAGTCTGCATCCCATCTGATCACTGGAGAAATTCAGGTAAACACATACAGAATTTATTGCTGCTGTGTTTAAGGTTAGAATGAGTTTTTGGAAGGGAACCTGTGCTGTGTGATTTGATTTGATTCTGAGATGATTTGGACCCCTTGAAATGTCACTAAAGCCAATGGCATTATGTGGGGTTTAATCAGTGCTAGATTTGGATCTCTGACTTTATCATCAGTGTGTGCAATACAACATCAGTTCAACAGTAGTGTGGGAATTACTACACATCTCAAAAAGACTAAAAAGTGAATTGAACTTGATTCCAGTCTGTGATCCCTGGACACTCACTGTGATTCACATCAGCAGATCCGACGCTAAATACGTATGTAAGCAAAGTTGTGAATTTTCAAAGATGCAGCTCAATTTTTTCAGTAGTGCTGAGTTGCTGGATATGTCTGATTTGAAATGATCTCTGTGGAGGTTTAAAAATAAAAAGATCATGAAAGTCTGGAAATGAAAGTGGGGTAGATCCCCACCAGTGAGTAAGGGTATGCCTACATTACCCTCCTAGTTCGAACTAGGAGGGTAATGTAGACATACCCTAAGCTTCTAACCTCATGGCTGGAAGGCCCTTCTGTGGCTGCTAAGGAGCTTGGGAAAGCAGCTGGTAGAACCTCTGAAATTCTCCTCTATTTATATTTGCCCTCTCTGTCCACTTGCTATGGTCCTTTGTAGAGCCAAGTGTCTGCGGTTTAAAGCGAGACAGCCTAGGGAAATAGCTGGCTCTTTTGTAAACTGTTAGCAGATATTGTATAAAAACCTGATAGTTTCTAGGAGATGGGCCAGCTATACCATGGGGACAGAGAAGAGAAAAGGACAGCACCACCAGACACATGGCGTTTCAGGGGAATATTGAACTACTTCGTAAGCAAAGGAAAACAATAATCTTCAAATATTTTAATGCCATCTCTAGCTTCAAATCAACTATGACAAGCACCTTGGTAATCTTATCATCCACATTCTTCAAGCAAGAAACCTGGCCCCACGAGACAACAATGGCTATTCTGACCCTTTCGTTAAAGTCTATCTACTTCCAGGGAGAGGGTAAGTGGTGAGGTCATTTTAGGTGGAATTCTGTTGCTTTCCATTTGCCTTCGATGCGAGTCCTGAATAATACAACTCAGATTGATGTTTCAGAAATTCCATTTAGTTTCAAACATCACTGAGAATCTCTTTATTTATTTTTTGAAGAAGACTTATCAAATAAAGGGCCCTCCTATTTCCTGTGAAATCGAGGCGAGTTTTGTGACAGATTTCAGTGGTATCTGAAGCAGGTCTGTATTTAATCTTTACTTTAAATTTTTAGGGAACAAAAGTACAAAATATGTTAAATAACATTGCAGTCTGATAAAGACCATCAGATCCATGGAGTTCATAGTTCCTATTAGGAATCTGTCTTTAACTCAGTAGTAGAGCCCTGCAAAATCCAAGGATATCTACAGTATATCTGCAGGTACCCTGGCTCATTTTTACAGATACGGATTTTGTATCTAGAACCTTGTAGATTTGCAGCTATCCAAGGGTATGTCTACACTACCCCACTAGTTCGAACTAGCGAGGTAATGTAGGCATACCGCACTTGCAAATGAAGCCCGGGATTTGAATTTCCTGGGCTCCATTTGCATAAGCGGGGAGCTGCCATTTTTAAAACCCCGCTGGTTCGAACCCC